CCGATCTAATAAATCAACCCAAGTTCGTGAAAATGAATAAGATGTTAATGGTATGCGAGAATTAATGGTAGCTCTTCCTCAGGCAATATCATTGCATTTTACTAGGGATCTACTTACTGCATGGAGTTGCTTATTCAAAGAAATGTCTCTAAGAGTGAAAAATTTCATATCCTATGTTGGCTGATGGATAAATGCTTTGAACTTAGAGATGTTTTTCCCTCCTCAAAACATCTTATAGACTGCTAACTTGCCCTTGACCACAAACACATTTCCTTCACTTCAGCAGCCAGTCAGGGTTTTTCTCTTTCTTCTCCCAAAATTGGTAAGAAAGTTTCAGGTAAAGAAAAAATGTGATTCTCTTGAACCTTTGTCTACCTTGTTACTTACTACACTCTCCTGGTTGGGTAGATGAAAGGACAATCACAAACGTAGCTATAAAACACTGAAGGTTCAATACAGAGTTGTCAGCAAAGAGAGCCTACCAAAAGCAATAGAGGCAGCATGGGCTGTGAGAAACTATCTTCTAAGCTAAGTCAACACACTGGGAAGAGGCACCCAACCTCCTAATTTGTATTCTGAACTCCTTTTGATAAAAACATACCAGCAAGCGTAGTTTACCCTAGGAGTCTCCAGTTCAGAAAAATGGGCTATTTGATTTACAAATCCTACTGAGAACCTAATCGTCGTTTAGTTTGTCTTCAAAAATATGTGTTATATAAAATATATTTTGTGATGTGTGTGTGCATAAGAGGCTGAGGAGGGAGGGAGGCTGGGAGAGAGAGAGAGAGATGGAGACAGACACACACACACACATACACATACACACACACACACCTTTTGGAAGAGAAAGAAAACTGGAAATAATCCCTCTGCACTTAATGAGGCCCCACCGGACTAGCCCTTAGTCCAGCGCAAAACCTCAGAGGCAGAGTCTGAAAGCTCACATTCCCAGAATCCGGTCCATTTCAATGGGTCAGAAAACATCTCACATTTATTTCCACTAAATCTCAAGTATGTCTCCAAGCATTAGACACCTCTTTGTTCAGAGAGAAGACTGAAAAGAGCTAGTTCAGCAACCCACTGGCTTGGTGAGCCACAGTTACCACTGAGAATTAGAGCCAAAGTGATAGGCAGCTAAGGGAGTTCTAAGCGATGCTAGATGAGATTCCAGAACCTAGGGAAAGTCGGGGAGAATATTTGCCACAAGAGGGAGCAGGAGAATTTGGTCAGATGGGAGACCATTTGGTAGAGGTTCTGATGAGGGGTCTAATTATGAGGTTTGGATGATTTGGGAAGATGTTTTGGCAACAGACATTTATCCCTTAGAGGAAAAAAAAAAAAAAGGATGAAGAGATCTGGAAGAAGAGAGAGCTCATCGCATGTTGATTCCTAAGTTCTTAGTAAATGTAAAGCAACAATTTAATTTTTGGTTAAAAGCAACATACACACACTCTGCAAAAATAGAAACCATGAAAGGTATGTACTCTAACTTCCTCGTTTTATTGTGCATTTCTTTTTCCAGATTTAATTTCTATTTGTTTAGATGTTTTTTATTTCCATGCTGATGGGACAGGCTGCTTGCTTCTTACTTACATGCTAGTCTCCCTCTATCTGAAGGCATCACGGAGAAAGGGCTCCTCTCACTGAATTTCAACGTGAAAATCAGATGGTAAAGTCCTAAAATGCACTTACTCTGGGAGAAACACACCCATGAGCTAAATGAACGCTTTAACTTGCTTTAAAGGGGGAACAAAACTTTATTGGATCCGCAAAGCTTTCCTCATCATTTATTTTGTCAAAGAAACACATTAAGTATTTAGGGGGAAGGAACCATGCGTTTACTTTGGAAGATAAATAAAAGTCTATTTTTGTCTGATAAAAAACATGTTAAATATAGCTTGCTAACAAAATGCTGAAGATTTCTTAGAATATACTTTTTCCCTCAAAATGTAGTAAGCTTAAAAGAGCAATTAATATAATTCTTGCAAATCTTCCCGTGTTACTGACTATATTTCACTTTCCTTTTGTAATTTTATTTGGAGTTAAAGCACTGCTACTGCTATGCATTTTCTTCCCCTTCATAGCCAACAAAAGGATTATCTGGTTCTCAATCTTAATCCAAAAAGATACAGTCGAAACCTTTAAATAGTTCTGGTAAAAAGTAAATAGAAAGGTAGAAAGGTAGGTAGGTAGATAGATAAACAAGCAGACAAATATAAAGTATAGCTTTCATATTCTTTTTAATTCGTTACTTTTTCTCTTCCAGCCCTGTTAAGCTTGTAAAACACAGTAGACGAAGTCTCATTGTCATGGACACTTACTCCTTTGCAACATCTACACAGCTCAACAGTGAATAATGGTTTACCTTTGTCTAGCTCTTCTCCTCGCCCTTAGGAATTAATCATTCCATATTTAATAAAGGACAACAGCCATTTTAGGGGGTAAAATCAGGGATCCTTTGATAGTAGCTGGGAAAAATCCTAATTAAAAAGAGCCCTTAGATCCAAATGGAATCCTTCAAGCAGGAAGAATTTATAAAATGAAAACCATTTAAGAAATCACATCTTGCTTTTTGATGAAGTAAGTGGGTCTTCCCTTCTCATTCACAAGGCCCCAAAGATGGAGCTAGTCTCCGTTCCTTCCTCCTTTCTACCCGCCTAACCACCCAATTAAGCAAGTTTAGAAAAACCCATAGAGCTAAATCCAAGTAACACAGGATTTGAAAGAGGAACCTAAAGACAATCATCCCATTTTTGGCTTTGTTTTCTTATCTGAAATGAATGAAACATCTAGATGCATTTTCCTCCCTCTTCTCCTGACTTGCTGAGGAAGCTCTGGGAAAGAGAAAACATGTGAGGGGCTGTGTGTGTGTGTGTGTGTTGGAGGTGTGGGGGGGGGAGGTATACTTTAAGAATCCCCTCCTAGTCGCTCCCCATTTCGCTTATGAAATCTCTACACCGATGCTGGATTGTGGATGTTCTGTTGCTCACATTTGGAGATACTCAAGCTATGCCTTTAACCAGATCTGATTAGAATCTCCACCTACTCTGCTAGCTCCTCCATGATCGAGATGCCTGTACTGTCTTTACCACATCTGTCATTTTTTTAAAAAGCTTCTTCCACTACACCTCCTACTGATATCCTTTTTTCTCTTTTTAGTCTTTACACCTCCAGCAGGACAAAGTTTGTATTGTTATGTTCACAACCACTAGTGGCTGACTAGCAGGAGAGAGAGCGCGCCAGCAAGGGAGACATCCTAAAGGGGGTTAAAAAAAAATACCTAGTGCAAAGCACGACTTTCTTTCCAATGACTGCGGACACCATGCACATTGCTCTCTTCACAAAAATTCTTTGTTAAATTTGATTACTCTGCTCTGAACTCCACCACTTCCACTTTGTCTGGAGAGGGAAATACAAATTGTCAGCCCAAGCCATTCATCAGTCACCAGAATCCATGGGGGAGGGGATTTTTAAAATCAAGGATGGACACATACTGTATTTTTTAAAGCATCGCCTGGGCGAATTTGGTTTCTTTCGCTGACTGTCCACCCATAAGACCTCCCTCATCTTCATTAAGGTGGAGCCAAGAAGGGTATCCTCACATCTCACAGCACAGATCATTTCCTCTAGAGCCAGCAAAGCTCCAGAGGCAGATAATGCAGCTGCAAAGTTCCTTTCGAATTTCTTGGGGAGGAAATATGCAGCAGAATCCCCAGGGCACACTCTGACATAGTGCCCAGAAACCGGGACCCTTCCTTCGGCCCATTCCCCCGCTGCATTTCTCCTGCCTTCGCCCGGGGCCTGAGCCACACCTCCCTCTGCTCCGCAGTCGACGGTGAAGGAGCCCCCAGGCCCGGCCAGAAAAGAGGGGACTCGCAAAGGTGGTCTCGGGGAAGACCCCAGGGATTACCAGGAGGAGGGAATGACCGCGAAGCAGAGCCCAGTGGGTGGGGACGCCTGGATCCCCAGCAGCGCTGCATTCGGGTGGACTCAGCTCTTCGCGCCTTGAATCCTCAGAGCCCAGCGCTGTGCATGGTGCAGCATCTCTGCTCAGTAGCCCTTTCTTCCTCCGGCAGCCGGCACAGGCAGGCAGGCACACTCACGCCCAGACGCTCGAGTCCGGCAATCTCACTCTCTCGTAAGCGCGGACACCCCAGAAAATGAGTAGGGACACACACACACACACACACACACACACACGCACACGATTTAGGAGCCGGTCCTTTGTCAAAGCGGAGAGAAGTGTAGCCTTATGAACAACAAATAGAAAATAGTTGGCGGTATCTGACCAAATCCCTCCTGCTTGCCCATCATAAGATCCTACCTGGTTTGGGGAAGTGTGGATGGATCTTGCCCCCGTTCCTTCACGCTACTAGGAAATACGGCACACTCCCTCCTTTTAAATAGCTCCCGATTAGGAAGAGGTCGCTCCCATCTTCAGGGGTAAGCACAAAGCAGGCGACAGCGGGCAGGCAGGCTCGCGTGCAGCGCCAGCGCGAGCAG